GTAAGTCTTCTTTGTTAATAGCCGTTAGAACAATATCATCAGCGAATAGAAGTGAAGAGATGTTTTGACTACTTAGGTTTGGACTATTCATTGTACAGTTATCAATGTTGGCTACCAAGTCGTTTATAAAAATGTTAAATAATATTGGGCTTAATGGACACCCTTGTTTGACACCTTCTTGCATTTTAAAGCTCTGGGTCACTTTGTCATCTTATATAGTACATATGCAAGTTTAAAAAGAAAGGAAATGTTGCACTATGCATGCACCAGATCTAGGTCGTTAATTAAATTGATCACAATACAATGCATACAGGAACAATGTTGAGTAATAGACAGATCGAAGCACAACAATAAATAATACAAAGAATTATATAAATAAATTACAATTCGCTGCATGTTCCCTAACCATCATTAGCAGGACGCCTGCTTCACCCAAATAAAAAACTCACAGCGTACTTAAGTGCTAGCATACTTAATTACCAGTGTGGTGGGCTATGGGAAAATTAATATGTTAATCAACATATATCTATATTCTTGCATTAAATCACCAAACTGTTTCAGTTCCATAATTTTTATTTTAGCAAGAATAAGACCCTGTACCAGCCATAGTCTTTCCACCCCATATACCTTTATGTACTAGTATATTACGCTTGAGCAACCGCTCATACGAATAAATAGGCCCCCCTTGACTACTCCAAGACTACTCACCCAAAAGTTCGAAATCGCATTCACGTTCATTGACCTCAATATCAGTTCATCAGGACAATCCAAAAAGTTCGTTCCTGCCACGACTCCGGCATTATTTACAAGTATGGTTACGCTGCCGACATCTTTCTTGACTTGTTCAGCAAGGCGGTAAACTTCATCTTTATTTGTTACATCGCACCGGTAACTGTGTGCCGTAGCCCCTAGTGCAGTTATCTGGTCCGCTGTCTTGTCGCCGCCGTCTTTGTCGATGTCCCATATTACCAGCTTACAGCCCTGTTTGGCGAAATTAATGGCCATTAAACGACCAATACCACTGCCAGCGCCAGTTATAAGCACGATTTCGCCTACCAGCGATTTCTTAGCAGGTGCGACGAAGCAACGCCAAACTCCAACCATATTGTACCATGTTATTTTCAGTAAAGCCCATGTCACTTCGAAGAGGACCAGCATTTTAGTTCTGTAAAATCCCGTTGCAATGTAAGGGTAACAACAACGTATTAGGTGTTTACGAAATCAGTAATGTGCAAGTTCATGACCTCGCGACCCCGAACTGCCGTGACCTTCTTTGTAGAGAAATGGTGATTCGTCAACTCTACTGGTTGCCAAGAACGACGATTGGCTGTGCGCTAGCTGCTACAACTTTGTTGTGTAGCTTACCACTTAACTTCTATGCAAATGTTAGCCTCTTATGGTGGACGCATCAAAAAAAGTCGACAGCATCAAAACGCAGGTTACTGGTTGCATATCTCATTACAACTTGCCGAATATTGAAGATTTCGCCATATGAAAACTATTCTAGAATTAAAGTCATTCAAAACTGCCACTAATCGAGATATCCATTTCACGCCCTGACGACCCGCCCTGTCTCTCGTTCGTCGTCGGCGGCGGCGTGCATTTTCATCGCAAAGCGTACCAGGTAATTTGGTACGTGTCTATGCCTAGTATACGTATCATACTGCCAAAAAATACCCAGACATACCACAAGACCAAAAAGAATTACACAGAAATGTTTTAAATCTTACATGGGCACTTGTACGCTCGTAACTTGACATGACAGGGCCGTTTTCACTGATTGTATATGTGAAGCTTACTTGTATAAAAAGGTGTGTCATTTTATAACCTTGACACGTTAACTAATTTGTCATGTACATGGTGAGAAACTAGTCCTACGCGCATATACACCATTTTCTGAGAATTGAATTCAAATTTTGTTGGAGGTCGGGCTAAAGAACGGCCTTAGTGTTTGATTGTAAATCTTAAAAAAAAATTACTTAAATTAATTATATGTTTTCCATCGGCAGAGTTTTAAGTTCGTTGGTTGCTGTGCTGAGATTTGAAACGGAATGAATCTGCCTGTTACAGATATATATGTGTTGTACCACGTTTAATTTAAAATTACTTCACCATAATTTGAGGCAGTAAAAACTATTGAAAATAAATACTGGCACAAAAAAAAAACAGCAATTGTATCATCGTTTTTAGCAAGATATTTTAATTTAGATGTATACTTTAAAGGAAGAAAAATTCATGATAAATTGTTTTGTCGGAACAATGAATCATTGCCGCCCTTGAGACTTATCCCGTGCAAACGTTAGCTAACATACGCACGTTTACCTCACTGTGCCTGCTAGTTACGTAATCAGAAGACAGCGCGAAAAACATATGATCTGATTTATTCACAACAAAAATAAAGATAATTGTTATTTGTTATTGTAAAATAAATCCATTATTTCATGTCATACACACACAGACGATACGCCGGTCTAAGCACGTGTAATATATAACATCTATTGAACAAGAAAAGGTTAAATATGTTTCTTCTGTCTCCCGACAAACGTATCCATTGCATTGAATGCGCCGGTAAACTGTGCGCCCGCTACGGTAGCGCCCAGAGACATCCACCTGGAAGAGTAAATACTAGTATTACGATTGTTGGTTATTTCAGTTTTATAGATCCAGTATTGATGATGTTATGTACTAGTATTTGAATTGTCGTAGTGAAATTTCTGAAGGTCTCGTCTCATGGCACGGCCCGGGCTTGAATTCCGTCTCCATACTCATTTTGCGAACGTACTCAGCATGATTATTCGCTTACGCGGTCCCGTATATTGTGAGTTACGAACATACTTACGACTTAAACCAAGAGATAAGGTATAAAGGTCGCGGCATCATTAATATATCCTGGTTTGTTTGCACTGCTCTCAGGACCATATCCGCTACGTATTGTGGATCCAAATCAGGGGGTGCCACTCCTTCCCTGGTAAATAAGATATGACATTTTTGAATACAAATTAAAACCTGTAAATACGTGAATAACTGAGGCTGTGTATAAAACTTTACCGTATAATATAAAATATTTCTAACACGGTACATAATATTTCCAAACCTGGCTTTGAACCCGTCGAACATTCCAGTGTTAATCAAGTATGGCTGTACTAATGTCGTTTTAATCCCATCATACCCTTCTTTAATAAATTCGTAGCACAGTGATTCGTGTAGCCCGACTGCCGCAAACTTACTAGCACAGTATTCGACCATTCCAGGTGCTCCAATAACACCGCAGATACTGCTTATTGTGACGATATGGCCGTGGTTATTTGCTACCATAGATGGCGCAAACGCTTTGAGGGTCTGAAAGAATGATCGTGTAGAGAGATGTTGCTTTAAACAGCACAATAAATACTACCTCGTATTTATGATGTACACTCAAACCTGATGCTGTACCTCCACATCAAAATGCTGGTCCTTCAAACCCTTATGATGCGCGTGACTGACAGTTATACTACTCAGTCTTAATTATTATCTAAGCACGATGTTTATTTCAACGACAGTCGTACTACGC